TTTGTGCCGCAGAGAGGTTCATCATACATTGAACTGCCTTCTCAAATAAAACGAAAAGTCATGAAATGCCTGCTTTGCTTGGGCCATTGTTTCGGCGTTGTATCCAGTTCTCCATGGACAACATTCAGATTTCATCCTATCTTATCCTGACTATTCAAAAGTTCTGAAGTTGTAAGGTATTCACTTTTCGATGACAATTTGATGAGTTTGAAAACTTGACTGCCATTGAATTGGAAAAATCCGAAATATTCTTCAACAAACCTATATATGTTGGAATGGTAGTACTGGATTTGGCAAAGTTGACCACATATGATTTCCATTATGAGTACATGGCTCCTAGGTATAGAGAAAATTTTTGCTCAGTTTATACTGACACGGACAGTTAGATTTATGAAATTATAAATTATGATCCATATGAGATAATGAAAAATGATTGTCATCAGTATTTCGATACTAGAGATTATCAATCAGATATCATTTACAATATTCCCCGAGCGAATAAGAAAGTGATTGGATTGATGAAGGATGAGAACAACGGAAACCTTATGATCGACTTTATTGGACTCAGATTTATTCTGCAACGTCAGAAGATCAAATCACTGATCTAAAAAAAAGATTGAAGCAGGGGAATTATGAAAATGATGAAATCAAACAGATTGTGGCCAATTTCGGAGTATCCTAGGAAGCGGAGGGCGTTAAACATAATATTGTCGGGCAGTTTGGCCACTCGTTTGGCCACTCGACTTTACCTTCATTATAGACCCGAAACCGGTTTGCAAACTCCACCCTTGCCGTGGCAGAGATGTAAACCTGCTTCTTTACTATAGCTCGTTCTTCAATTACAGTTGATTCTAGCAATGCATTTGTGGTTCAGACGAGAGCTATGGCGGGTCAAAACAGGGCTGTCTGGTATTGAATCATAAATTCGTTACGTTTGGGCTTTATTTCCAGCTAAGAATGGTTAAAAAAAATAAACTTGATCTAGTCTCCCTATAAAACTGAAGCCATTCTACTGATACGCAGAAAAATTACACACCAGTTAATCTCAAAATCGAGTAAACCCTCATAACACCAAGTGCGTATTTGAAATATATTGGTACAAATTTGAGAAAATTTTTTCAATGTGTAGCCATAAAGATATCGATGTTATGTATTTAGATCAAAAATACAGACGAATAGCAGAACAATTGTTTCCCTACAATTGTAACGTGATTGTTTTATTCGAACAGTATGATCGCAATCTCCATCATACCAATTTTCGATTATGTAGCTCCATATTTGACTTTTGATGAAATTGAAGATATTTGTCTAGAATAGTGGAAGGATAGATGTGGTTGATTGGTGATTATGAAAGATTTTAATCTCAATAAGGTTAATATTGCAAAGGGTATATCTGATGATAACATGTTTGTTCGACTTGGCATTTTCTATAATATCGAGATTCATAATTAATGGAGTGTTTCGCTATGAAATATACTGCAATTGGGTCAAAACTGAATTTTTATATGTGATTTCGTCTATTTATATCAACAACATGTATTCAAAAGAAATTAACAGACAATTTTGAATTGATCTCAAACTGAAATAGATCAAAACCAGTTTCAGTTACACATTTTTCCAAACAGCTTTCATACAAGATGATTTAATGGTTTTTTTTTGGTTATTTTGGTTATGTTTCTGGTAATGTCAATCTGTCGTCGTAAATTCAACATGGATCTTTCCTCTGTGTTATGGTTTGATTCTACAAGATGATGGATGTCATAGAATGAGTATGTTTCTGTTGAAAATGAACATCAATAAAAAACACTCAAGTTAACTAATGATTCAAAACAACTTCTTACGAAATGTAAACCGAAAAGATATAATGAACAAGATCTTACACAATATATAAATATTTTTCATTGTTGTCTGTTGGAAGTGTTGATTTTGATATTTTCAGGAAATACATCGACTTAATAGATACTTATGAACCCTTCGAAGAAAGAGACCAAGAAATGTTACGCTAAAAAATGAGCACAAGGGGTTGATATCATCAGGTTGTTAGTTCATTGTTAAAACAGTTTTCTTCGCTCTTTTCCACACCACCCTGGAGTTAGAGCTGCCGGAGCGTTTGATTTTTAGATTGTAGAGGAAAAAAAAACATCACCAATAGCCCTATACAAAACCTCTCTCGAAAGGAAATAGGTGTGTGGTTCCATTTTGAAATAAATGACAGTAGGGTTAATTTTTCCAATAGTTTTGCTTTGACTCACAAAAATATACCTGTATATCAGCAACAAGATAAAATGTTAACAAAAATTTTCAATGTGATATGTGATTTCCACTCGTGCATAGAACTATCATCGTTTGTTCTGTTGAATACACCTTATGCTTATAGGATTTAATTAATTTTTTGTGTGATTGCTTTTTCGGTAAAATTTTCCAAACGTAATCACGTAATCTTCGAAAGCGATTTTTGTTTTGACAACATTATATTTAACGCCCTTTGCTTTCTTGGATACTCCGAAATTGGCCACAATTTGTTTGATTTCATCATTTTCATAATTCTCTTGCCTTAATCTTTTTTTCAGATCAGTGATTTGATCTTCTGACGTTGCAGTTTTAGTTGGGTGTAATTTAGATCTGAGTCCAATAAAGTCGATCATAAGCTTTCAGTTGTTCTCATCCTTCATCAATCCAATCACTTTCTTATTTGCTCGGGGAATATTGTAAATGATATCTGATTGATAATCGCTAGTATCGAAATACTGATGACAATCATTTTTCATCATCTCATATGGATCATAATTTATAATTTCATAAATCAAACTGTCCTAGTCAGTATAAACTGCGCAAAAATTTTCTCTATACCTAGGAGCCATGTACTCATAATGGAAACTATATGTGGTCAACTTTGCCAAATCCAGTACTACCATTCCAACATATATAGGTTCGTTGAAGAATATTTCGGATTTTTCCAATTCAATGGCAGTCAAATTTTCATCGAAGACAGTCAAACTCTTGAACCGAGGATTGGAGATTCTGGCTTCGGCACCATATTGCCCATCCCATATCGTTGCAAGACGAACATCAGAGTGCTCTCTCAGAATTTCCATAGTTTTCCTTGAAACAAATATTTATTTATATGGGACAAAAATTGAGTTTTGAAGATAGCAGTACATATCAAATACGGCGTTATTCATCAGTTTGAATAGGTTCTTTTCAAAATCATTCGAAGCAGCAGTTCGCAAACGTGTGTTCAAGTCTATGTAGGGCTTCAATTATGTGGACTGCTTGAACTTTAGAACACGATGAATCTTGTTCAAAATGAGACCATGCTCTAAGGCCTGCTTGAGATTTCTGTAATGATTCACATATTTTTTCTTCGACTGTAGAGTAGCCATCAATTTGAATTGTTTCACATCCGATGTACTTTTGGTTCGAGATTCTTTTGTCTTAGGATCCACATGATCGGGGCACAACGGTAAATCCTAATGCATATCGTGAAGGTTGTTTGGATACTCCATATCAACTTCTAGTATATAACCTTCCGAGGAATCATCAGGCACAGTTGTGATATCAATGTTGGTGTCCATCCACTCAAACCAGCCGTATGGTAGATTATTGAGACATTGCCCAACCATATTGATTATTAACATCAAAATACATTAGGTATGAGTCAGCTTTGGCTTTATCATAATTGTCACCCGTGTATTTGTTATTAGCTGTGACTCTTCACTTGGAACAAACTTGACTCAGTCCACCTCTTGTTCCTTTTTCAAAAAACATCAACTGATCTACATCGGTGAGAAGTTAAAGTTGCTGTTTCGTTTTGAATAACATAGCATCCCATGTATAACCAGGCAGAGTGAAATAATGGGCTGGATCCAAACCGTAAGTTTCATGACAACTTGAGCGGAACTGCTCGAAGACATAGCCAGAAGCATAACATCCGTCTTCAAATACAGATCCGTATTTTTTCCCAATCTGTTTATATTAAAAGTAGCCCACATCAGCTTGGCATGTAAGTAAGATCTTCTAGGAGACGGTTTTTCATCAAATTTGTTGTAAAAGGTTTCGATAGGGGGTAAACAATCTTCATTGAATTTTTTGAAAGAATCGATATAGTCATACGGAATTACACCCTTTTTTGTCAAAATCTACTCTTCATCATTCGAGAGGTTGGAGAACTGTGATATGATATTTGGAGAATCTGATAGATATGATACTAACGTATCCAGCAAAAAACTCATGAATCTGAATGAGTTGAAAAATCTGAAGTGGATCTTGCTACCAGAAATATTTTCAGTGAAAGAGATATGCTTTTCCTTTGTTATCGGCCAAACGGCGACACTTCCATTGAGATCCAATGCAATATTTTCTATAACAAAATGTGCATCATACCCTGATAAGTTATGTAACACGATGGGAATTGTTTGATCATCTTTATAGTTTATAATGTAATTGTGTGATGGTCTGCGAAAGAATGTTTCCTGGCTGGCTGATATACCTACATCAAATGGACACTGGAACACAGTGTCCAACATCTCCAGCAAACTAACCTATCTCGTCGGCAAACCATTTCATACAATTTTCACCACGAAATGATCGATAAAATGATAGTGTATCATCATATCAGCATTTCACATAATATCCAATAGATGCCGGAATGTATCGTTGATATTTATTGCCATCTTGTGCAGATACCAATACACTCGGCATATATGACGAAAGGCGATGTAATTTTATTTTTGAAATTTTTGAACCTCAAAATATATTTTCCCTCCATAGGTAATTTTGGTAGGCATTCCTTTGTCTTCGAGCAGTCTTCAAGGTGTTTATCTAACATAGCTTGCGTGGAAAAACAGTGAAAACACCTATGNCGCCAATAGATTCAAATATTTAACCCTGACTCGAAATAATGAAATTAGAGAAATTGAATCTATAAGATCTACTCTAAAAAAAGGTAACCAATTGATAATGAACTTTGGCAGGTAACAATAATTAGAAAGACCACGGTATCAATTCAATAGAAATATATTATATACTGGCTTATCTATAAATATATAATCAATAAAACAAGATTTGAAATGGTTGGAGGGGTTTCGTGCACTTAGAAAACTCTCATGAGAGGGAAGAAGAGGAGTGGATGAGATCTGTATGGTAGGTCTTCGTCCAGTCCCCTAAAGACATTACGCAAAACTTACATAACTAATATACAGAAAACAGTTAAACAATATCCGCTGAGTGTAGTTCCCAGTTGATGATTACTAAACGTAGATATTGGCCCGTGGAAGTTACGGAATGCAAAATAAATGACCAAAAAACAAATTCCGCTATGCGGTACTTAGCCAGATTACTGGATTGTACGGAGTACTGCACTTCCTGGAACGGGTGTTCATTCCTTTAATTATATCCTTAGAAGGCGACCATGAATATTACAGTATTGCGACCATCGAATGACATATATTCTCTTCAAAGTAATTTTTATTTTCCTCGAGATGATTTCGATATATGGGGTTAAACGCCTAGAAAATCATATTTATGATTGTAGTGATCTTATTATAGGAAAATGAGGTATGGAACATAGAAAACTTATTCAACTGTGTGAAATTATAAGAACTCACCTCCGATTACCGATTCCCTAATAATCGCGAGACGTTGACTTCTTTTACCACAAAAAAAAGGCTGATATCTAAAATCCTCCGTAGAGACAAATCGACAGTTGATAATATAATCCAACGAATTATCCGACCAAATATCACTGTCGAAAAGAACACTGATCAATTAAAACCGCCTAAAGCGTAAAATATTCAATCAACAAAATTTAGCGTTCAAGACATTCGAGCCATTTTCTGAATAAAAAAAAATTCTCCAATCCCTTTTTTGTACCCGATAGTTCCTATCGCTACAAACAAAAGGTTTCCTCGTTTCATCGATGATGGCAGCAGCTCTCGTATGCGATATGAAAGATAATTGAAATGTATTCCTGGTTGCCTACCTTTTGGGAGTTTTCTAAAATTTTACGGATAACGTAACAAGGTGTTTATCTAACATAGCTTGCGTGGAAAAACAGTGAAAACACCTATGGAAAAAATATTTTTTTCCATTATGGTTGTCGAGTTGATTACAATCCAAACTAGATACCGTTTTACAGTATACTTGGATTTACAAAGTTCCAACGTGTAAACATTTACTGAGAGATCATTCTGCTCTTCGAAACTATGTATCTGAGTAATTGTCATCTGAAAGTGAATACCTCACAACTTCAGAACTCTTGAATAGTCAGGATAAGATAGGATGTGATCTGAATGTTGTCCATGAGGAACTAGATACAACGCCGAAACAATGGCCCAAGCGAAGCAGGCATTATCATGACTTTTCGTTTGATTTGAAAAGGCGTTCAATGTATGATGAACCTCTCTGCGGCACAAATTTGTTTACGTCAACCCCTAAATTCACTACTGTTTTCAACGCCTTACCTCTGTCACGTTCCTGAAACTCTTCCAACTTTATCATGATTGGCTCCATAACATGTTTCTCAAACCACATATTCATATTAGTGTTACTATGGATGGATGCGTTAGATATTATGAAATACTTATATTTGTTGAAGATTCGATCGCCTTTGACAACCTCAAATTCTCCACCGAATGTCATATTAACCTTTAAAAATGCATCCTTTTTCAATGCATTTTGAATTCGTCTCACAAAAAGGGTCTTACAGTCGATCAAAAATGAGGAAGGATTCTTATGCTTGAGATTACTAATCACTTCAGTCCGGATACGCGAATTGAAAGCCGATTTTGAATCATCCCAATGTACTCGATTAGAGGCTGTCTCTTTCCGGCTAATCAGGCCTGCTCCTTTCTGCATCTCAAATTTCATCTGATTACGTAGTGTTGTAATAGTGACCAAGAATGCTAGTAGATTTTGTTTCCCACCCATAGTAGTAGTATTTTTCAGATCTTTTTTTATTCGTTTAGAATCCTTATAACACTCTTCAAATCCATCCTTCACTGTTTTCTCCTTGTATTCATCTTTAATGAGGCTCAAGATAGATGCGATATATTTCATCACATCAGCAAACATTTTTCAAAACTGCAGAAGCAGGTTCAACACTAACTGATTGACTAAAATGGAGCGCCAGAAAATATTCCTCGAACAGTAAATTAGAAACCTAGTGGGAAAAACTTTGCGTTAGAAGTAATGTGACCAAATATCAATATGAATGAAATCTGTCTTATGGAATCATAGTATATCAGAAAAATGAATTTCTATGATGATATATCAGTCTAAAACACTATATTCACAGGAACAACAGTAAAAATGTTGACGAAAATGTTTATCGCGCTATTACAGTACTCAATTCGATAGCGATAAGTTGCATTACTGTATTTCCATCATGCAGCAAGTAAATGTTATACTGATTAAAAGAATAGAGAAACCAATATGCGAAAACTTCATATTGAATTAATTGAACTGAGAAATTCTTTGAGATACTTGTTTTCGCCTTCTTTAGCCTACACTGATCGTAAGTATCGATATTAGGTCGAATCCAACTCAGGTATTAAAATAGAATGCTAGTTTGTATCAAACTCCTAGTATTACACATCTGATGGATACTGTTCTGTTTCTGTTCAAAATCTGTTTTTCCGTTAATCAGCTGTCGCCACCATACGAACGAGGTCTTACCTTTAAACGTTTGATTCCTAACACGGTTGCAGAATCATCTCAGCTTCAACCAGATCTGTCAGATCTTGACATGGTGGGGGAGAAACAGACCAAAGTGAGAACAAACCTGCTTCTCAGTTGAAATCATATCAATATCATCTACTATATGGCTTCAGATTTGAAATAAATTATGTTCTGAAAAGAAAAACGTAGTGTGACATTTTAAATTATTACATCAGTTTTAAGCATGCGGAAGTTCATGAAGAGCATACATATGTGTGAGAAATATCAGTCTGTTCTCCTGTAAAATGTCAAGTGTTGACACTACATGTCTACAAATCTCCGTCTAGCATGACATTGGCGGAGATGTCAAAATCAAATTTTAGTCATCATTTTTGATACATGGATGTATATATGATGCGTCAAATTTCACAAAAGATATTTTATCTTATATCACTAATATCGATAACAGCACATGTTACACAAAAATATCATTTTCATACTTTATCAGGAAATAAAAACAACTTGTTACCAAAAAGTCTTTGACTTTTTTCACGAATTTGAGGAAATTTGTTTCACTTCTGATGCTAAGTTAATACATTTTGCCTCGGCATGAAGTGGCGAACCTTTGTACCCATTATGGTTTATTCTTTCCTGATGGAAGTCGTTTCTCCGTCTCATTCAATGACAGCGAATTTTCTCATTTCTTGTTAGCGAATGGGAATGTGCATGAACGTAGCTTGGTATTTTGTAAAGATAAATGCATGGTGATGTGATTTTTTTTTTATCTTAGAATGTTTTCTTACAAGTATCTCTGTATTTGAGATCAAAAATTAGTCTAATGAAGCGTTTTTGCCAATTTTCAATTTCATTTAGATCTGGGGACGTCACAATGTTGTGTCATCGGCATACATGAAAACTCGACCCTCGAGAAAATTCTAGTATTTAGTTTCAAGGTTAAACCAAACTTCACCATCAGATTTTGCCAATGTGTGGGAAAAAATAGACCAACGTGAGGCGATACCCACGTTTCAGTTGGAGTTACGTCAATATCATCTACTATGTTGCTTCAAATTGTAATGTAATTATATTTCAAGAAAAAATATAGTGTAGCATTTTGAATCATCATCGAATATGTGGTATCTAGTTCATGTTAGACATGCATATTCGTGAGAAATGTCAGTCTGTTCTCCTGTAAAATGTTATGTGTTGAGTCTACGCATCTGTTTTGGGGCAGATAATAACCTTGCATTTATTTCAAAGTCAAACCAAACTTGACGGGTAAATGACAGGCAATGACAGGGTAAATGACGGACAATGACAGGTGAATGAATTTATTTTCGATCACAGTGATGGCACATCCTACTTTTCAGTTATAGTAACGCTGATGTCATATGCTGTGAAGGTCGAAACGGAATGCAAAAGCTACGTGCAATATCAAAATCGACAAGTTTTTGTTATACGGGACCAAGAAATACAGGCACAAACTATAGAAAATCGGCTCATCAAAGCAGTTGTCTCTTTCGACAATTTCTAAATTCTAACCAAACCTCAAGATTTTTCCAAATCCTAATATATTTATTTTTCTCCCGAATATGTATTCTGTAATTCAATTTCACTCTCTTCAGTGTTTTCCGTAAATGAAATAGACCTAAATAATAACTGTTCTTCCATTCGTCATCATGAATATAACATTGCACAAGATTCAGATCTTAAATTCCATTGGATAGTTACAAGCAACAAAAATTCACTCTCTGAACTCTCATTTCTTATCACTTGTGCTTTATTGGTTTCTTTAATGTTGAATCATTCGAATTTATGCAATGAACTTTTCTCTTTACTTATCTCTAATTATTTTATAACCTTTAACTTTGCAGTCCCACGCGGGCCTCAATAGTTCAATGAGGTTTCAAAGAGAAAATGTGAGGTCAAATTTTGCAATAATAGGGAGAATTTCTGTCAATTGTTATATTTATTCAATTCGCCCTAACCATACCTTGGTACAGCTCAAGTTGATAATTTTCAGATTGATACTTCACGAGATTCTACAATATTACCTATACAAATGCACGTTATTTAGCTCTCTTCAGTTCACCCTACTTCGCTACCCACTAGAGATGCCTGATGTCACAGCCAAGCCCACCTCCCAACTGGATGCGATAACAGATGTCGATACAAACAGGCAGTGGTCGTTGCGCTCTCGGAGAGGGCAGACGTTAGCACAGTCTTCGGCCGCCTGCGTGTCACCATCGATAGCGAGGCTAGAGCGATGCGTTACGTCACAGCCTTGACTGCATCGAGAGAGGTGAGGGCACACCGATGAATACGCATTACTCAGCCACACGTCTCGGAGTAAACAGCTTGCTCTCTTACCGTTGAACGGTTGCTGCTGTGTCGTCACACCACTACTAACTTGGTGGACTCACACCGATGGAACATTCATTACTTGAAGGATCTTCGAAGTATGTAGACGAATGTTTGTACATAGACAAGCATATGATGAAACCCTGTATCGTGCATTCTCACACACATACACCAATCAAATGTAATCACGTCACTATGTTACACACACACACACACACACACACACACACACACACACACACAAAATCTCATATGAAAAACATTATGATCGATCCATGCACCAGACCCTTCAAGGTCACATCGCCTTGATGTTACTAAACAACAACAAAAAAAGCAATTAATACGTCATAGTGGTAGGGGAGGCGCAGAACTGGCTGTTATCCACTACTGATGGCAATACTCTACGTTCACGTGAGCATTACATGTTCTTAATAGCACTGGATTATAAGAAACCACACAATTATCATCCATTGTAACACCCTTGATATTGATAGAGAATCCACCATCATCCAGAGAACGTCTCCTGTACTGCGGATAACCATCATTACCGGTTTGAGTTTTCTCAATAAGAGCCTTAGGATAACGTTTGCTGCACGAATTAAATTTCATGCATGGAGAATTTCGGTTTGAACTTCCACAGGGGCCATGTATCATATTACTTTCAACAATTTCATTAAGCTCAGGATCACGATCGAGGTATTTCAGCACGGATAATATTGTCAATTTGATCCGGAGTGATGCGATGTTGAAGCCATAAAAGTATATGAATATGCGAAATACCTTGTTTTTGCCATTCTGTCCAATACATATAGTATCTCACTTCACCGAATATTTTCCCTTTTATCAACAAATCCATGACTTTTTTTTACCTTTAATCGAAAGACACGTGAAATCATTTCGAATCGATCATGAGATTTTTGTCCTGAAAGTAAGTGCTCATTTATGTCACTCCAGCGTGGGTTACATGTAAGAGTAATGAAAAACATAAGTCTTGC